TAATAGTCGGCCAATATTCTGTAATTTTGATAGAAACCAACTTTGTAAGCCAAATGTTTGTCTGCTATATTTTCCATTTTTAAAGGTGCATAGACTTCTCGGAAACCAATTACATCACAAAGTGGTATTAAAAGGAAAGTAATAAAAGTATACTAGCATATTACCACTTTTCTTATCTTTCACACATGAAAAGCACTTGTCCGAAACATCTACCGAGTAGTTACGAAAGTGTGCACAGAGAGAAAATAATTACACTCGGTACAACAAATAGCCATCTCAAATCGCTACGAAACAACAACCACTGAGGATGAGTCTAAAAGAAAAGCTAGGCCCCAAACAATTCTAACTCAATTAAGAAGACTGCTTTCAAGCAACATTTCATGTCGGATGGAAAGAACACGGCTACTAAGTGGTGTTTAAAAAGCGGAGCTCTTGAAACTTCCGTAGCAGTTATACAATTCCCACCGAGCACCCTATATCGGCCGTTACTTAGGAAACGTCTATGCGACCGTCTGTGTAAAAAAAGACTTCGTGATTGCAAATCGCATGAGTTCAGGCACAATATGTCTGATCTCTTGTAAGGAATACGACAATGAACATATTGGTGAAAAAAACTATACTACTTTGTATCCGCATAAAATAACACTTAAAAAAGACCCAACAAGGTACTTTTTCAGGTACACATCAGCCGTATCACAAGTCGCCCCTTGATAGTTGAGTGATCGAGCGGGCCATACTAAATCTTTGCATTCTCACTGTCGCATGCAAGAGCAGTCCAGAAGATTTCGTTCGCTCTAGGGACTCGTTGAGCATCACAGTTTCCGTTAAGAACTCTGACCATTGGGTTGGTGGTCTTCCCGAAGTAGGCTTGACATCCCGAGGAATCCAGTCACTGACGGCTCCTGTCCATCGGCTGTCGTTCATACGCATTACGTGTCCGGCCCACCTTATCTATGACTGTTTGGCGTATAGAACGGCACCTTTGATTTTTGATCGTTGACACAGATCCCACCTCTTACTTGTGCGGAACAGGATACTCCTAGCATCGCCTTTCGACTGCCCGTTCGATAACGCTGAGTGACCTCTCATCCTGCTTACGCAGCTACCAGGTTTCTGACGCATATATTTATTTATGTGATCTTATAAACTGATCTTCTTAAGCTGACGCGAGGTTGGTACAGATCTTCGTTGTCGTTGTCGTTGTCGTTGTTTTTGATGTTATTGAACGATGGCTGACGTTTCGGCGACTTCGCCTTCCTCAGAGCCTGGACGTACTTTATGTTAGAATACTTTTTATTATTCGGTGGAAAAGAAGGTTAAAGTATTAATGAAGATCAAACTTTCAAATAGACGCCATATTGAACAGAAAGGCCACTCACCGTGATGTTACGTGCGGGACTGGCCCACACGTAGTTCACGTGGAGTCGCGAGCAAGACACGCCCCGGGGTCAAAATATCATTTTGAAATAGGGCGCCAGGTCACGCGTGATAGTGAGGCATTCGTTTTTCCGGTTCATCTTTGGATTTTTGAAATTTATCCAAAACGCCTCAAGAGTTTTGCGCGTTGATGTTTTTGATTCCTGCGCTAGGATCCGCACATTCACTTCAAAATCATCGCCGTTGTGCTTTTGTGCCCTATGCGTACCTAGAGGGGTGTTTAAACGGATTTTAGCTTTCCCATCTAGATGTTCTTTTATGCGGACACAAAGTGGTCTACCCGTTTCCCCGATATATTCCTCGCCGCATGCATTACATGAGATCAAGTATATTATACCTAAACTCATGCAATCCCCGTCTCTCCCGTTAGGACAGATTATACAGTTTTCTGAGCTGCACAAACGATCATAGAGACGGTTTCGAACTAACTGGTGGCGTAGGGTATTGGGTGGGATGTCAACAATCGTTACATAATTTTCAAAACCACTTTTTCTTAAGCACTTTTTAATGGCGTGACTTACTTCATTTGATATGAAGGGCAGCTTAAAGGGAATCTTATTTTCGTCTGAAGTATTATTTTGGGGAACTACCCAGTGTTTTCCTCTAACCCGAGTGGCTTCTACTTCGTAGCCATTGGAAATGGCAATTTTTCGTGCCAGGTTTCGCGATTCCTTCCTTTCCTCTTCTCCTGTGCACACATTTTTAGCCGTACGATACATATTGACCCCGGGGCGTGTCTTGCTCGCGTAAACTACGTGTCGGCCAGTCCCGCACATAACATCATGGTGAGTGACCTTTCTATTCAATATGGCGTCTATTTGAAAGTTTGATCTTCATTAATACTTTAACCTTCTTTTCCACCGAATAATAAAAAGTGTTCTAACATAAAGTACGTCCAGACTCTGAGGAAGGCGAAGTCGCCGAAACGTCAGCCATCGTTCAATAACATCAAAAACAACGACAACAACAACGACAACGAAGATCTGTACCAACCTCGTGTCAGCTTAAGAAGATCAGTTTATAAGATCACATAAATAAATATATCAACTGCCGAGGTTCATAGAAAGTCGGTCTTTCGAGTTTCTGACGCATACGTTAGGGCAGGAAGTACCGTGTAGTCGAAAAGGTGGGCGCGGAGTAGAGTGTTCCTTGTTCTCTTCATTACATCCTCGACGCTCTTGAACGCTCCCTAACCGCTCATTTCCTCCTGCTCAACTCTGGAGCTTGGTCGTTCACCATGTTGATTTCCTGCCCTAGATAGACGTCACTGGAGCATTCGGAGGTGTTCACTCGATTGAGAGTAAATGGGTCCTAAGAAATCGGTCCCTTCTTCATGAACATGCATACTAGGCAGAGAGACAGAATGGAAATATCTTAAAACCAACTTTTGTTGGGCTTCGGTAACAACGAACAGTAGTTTTCTTAATGATTAAGCCGACATAAGGTTGATGCAAAAACTTTTATGTGGCCAACGTTTCAGGGATTTAGCCTTTTTCAGCGCCACATTAATCTGAGTCGATGTTCCACGGTTGGCCGTTGTCGCCAAGTTGGCGTTTGATGTCACATCGAGTCGAATCCAGTGGAGGGACCAGCGCAGCTCTAGTTGGAAATTTGCACAGTGGTGCCTTTCTATACAGGATGAACGTTGATCAGTTGCCGCCGTTCGATACAATTCTCTTTTTGACGGATCATGAAAGATATTACTTATTATTGTTATCAAAGTTTAATAAAAGTCGGTTTTAAGGTATTACCAGAATGCATGCCAGCAAATGAACTAGCGGCTGCTAGAGGACCTACTGTCCAGCAAGAAAAATGGATCATATTGGATGACGGCAGTAGATCAACGTCCATCCTATCGGTACTATCTACTGTATTCGACTCGATGCTACGAGAAAACACCCACATCGCAACAACGACCAGCTAGGGACTGTCGACTCGGACCAACGCGACTCTGAAGAAGGCGAAGACGTCGAAACGTTAGCCGAAGAAGTCTTCATATCAAACCTCGTATCATTTAAGCCATGTAGAAAATTTTAAAAGCCGAGATGTTTCGAAATAGCAGGCAAGATCCTGACGCAGGAATCAAGAACAACTCCCAAAACTTCTGATGCGTTTTGCATTAACTTCGAAAATCCGAAGATGAAAAGAAAGGACGGATGTCTCACTACTATACGAGACTTGTGCCCATATTTCCGATTAATTTTCTGAGCTGAGCGGGTTCCATTCATAATCCAGTAACTGTAGCCTCACCCTTTATAAAATAAAAACGAAGAGCGAATAGAATACATTGGCGAAACGGGCAGACCCCTCTGTGTCCGCATAAAAGAACATCTATCAGGCAAACGTCTACCAAGTACCCTACTAGGCACGTAAAGGACCCAGAGACATAACGGGGAGGACTTTAAAGTACGTGTCACAATTCTCGCACATGAATCGAGAGCACAAGCGCGCAAAACTCTCGAGGCGTTCTGGATTAATTCCAGAAATCCGAAAATGAACCGCAGGGACAAATGCCTCATTATCACGCGTGATATTGGACAGTATATAAACCTGTTATTCTGATGAGATGGGCACATTACGATTCCCTGTGAACTCTGTGCGGTTGGTCTCCACGTGACATACTCAGTGAAAGCGATGAGTGTGGAAAGCTGTGTTCAGCGTGATTGAAGTCTTGATTTAGCGTTTTCTTTGTTTGGTTATGGAGGCGTTTGGCCGAATAGATTGCTGTCAATTTGACCATTGCAGGCTCTGCGGAAGGCGAAATCCGCCAGAACGTCAGCTTGTACGTAAATAAAGAAATAAAATAGCACCTCGTGTTTGCTGAACAAAAGTAGAAAAAAACGAAGAGCGTTTTCTTTACATGCTGGAGCTTCGTTCGAACTTTGTAATTTCATTATAACTGTAAAGTGCTTACCGATTATTACGAGTAGGACTAAATAACAATACTTCTAGGCTCCAGAGAAGTCGAAGGCACTCAAACGTTAGCTACAATCTCGTTTCCGCTCAAAAGAAGGAGTGTTCACAAGATAATATGATCTAATTAGTGCCGAAGTGAATCGAAAACCGGTCTCTTGACTTCAAAAGGACTACGTCTGGCAGAACACGATGGCGTTCTCCAATTCATCCTTCATGTTTGCAGCCACCGTTCCAGTGTTGGATATTTTAAAACTTTTAAACTCCATTTTCCAACTTTTTGAAAATCTCGATACCAAGCATATTTAAATTTGATAGAACACTTTATAAAAAGCATACATACGACGATGTGATAGAAGAAAGTCATTTCTATGAATCCATAAAGTTCTGGACTCCTGGAATACTTCACTGCTACCGAAATCACCCTCAGTTGTCGTCAAATCAGCTCCGCAGCGAAAGGGTTACTGAATTAACTGAAGGAAACGACTGTTCATTTCATAAGTGTAGACCAACAAATATACATGCAAACAGAAAACACTGTTCGACACACGTGTATGCACATACACATATATATTTACATACATATATATGACTATTTACAAAAATTAACAGATGTTCCCTTTATTCTATACCGTTTCTTTACCGTTTGACTACTTCGAGATGTACTGAATAAGTTTCTGATGCGGTACCATGTCTCCGACGGCAACCTAAAATCGTTTAGTGTGGTCAAAACATATAATTTCTCCTAGACGATACGAAAAATATGCTCATAGAGAGAGCTCTGCTTCTCGCATAGTTAAAATAATACCTGTTCTAACAAACTATCGATCTCTTGGTGACTCATACGCTCACCGATTGATGTGAGTATAGAGCGAAATTCACTGATCGGCATCGAAAACATTCCATCTCTGAAAAAGAATCATTAACTAACTAAGAAAGAGTATGGGAACTTTCATGCGACGAATTCAAAATAATAAAGCGTTATTGCCATTTCTCTGCCACTTTGAATAATGCTTTGACATGACTGCCCAATAGACTACCACATTGGAATTGATTAAGCTCTAACTCATTCTAGTTTCGCGTACTTTGCATCAATGTTGACTTAGTTTATGAAAGGTGGTGACACCATTTCCTTTCCCATTTTTCAAATAAACCTCCAACTTAATACGAAGTGAAAAACATTACAGTTTTTCTACGGATGTGAGAAAAACACACTTTCAACTTGTGACGGGCAAACTTCCTTTTGCGGCATGCGATAATTAGTAAGACATGTATACTAATAGGAAATTTCCGGCAAGACGTTGATTTAGTGAATAAACACCAGTCCAGAAGCAACGGACAAAATAAAGCGTTCGGTCTTGATCTATCCTTTGGGATGCACTATGCCAATCGCCTCCATTCATAAAAACATAGAGGTGATTCATTGCACATCTGGCCTATACAATAGCTTATAGAGAGTTGTATCAAGTCAATGCAACAATTTGATGATCTCACAGGGATGGAAGGGCCGATTTGGCAAGTGCGTGTGATTGAACCGACAATGTGTGTATTACAGGTCACCTCTGTCCACTAGGCTAAACACGACCCTAATAGATAAAATAGTCGAAAAAATAATGTAGACTTGATAATAAGAGTGCAGCATTCGTTAGCTTTCGTTGGCTTTTGAACTGAGAAAAGTCGTGGTGTTCTAATATATTAGGTCTTTCTAGAAAGCTAACAATACCATAGAAATGCAGGTCGTCTGTCATTTTCATTAGTCGTAACAGCATAAACGACGAGCAAATCGCTCACCTATAGAGTGCCTTCAATGCCTTGGTAATTTCTGCTAGTTCATCACTGCTATTATGTTCCTCTTTTGCAATCTCAAGAAATGAAGCGAAATCCAATGGATGCTCTGAAATATAAATAGGCGTTACTATCGCATCAAATCACGCAATGAAGAACCACACCATCAGTTAACATAAAAGTATAAAACAGAAAGTTTCCGATGACATTAAACAATCCATTAAAGATGCTCCATGCATTCGACTCTTTTCCTAACATTGTGGAGGTGGTTGAATGCATGTATGAGTTACACAAAGACTTGAGGTAGCCTACCGATGTATCAAGTCAGTAGGTTTCTAACCAACAGACAAATAAGTCTGGTACTAATTTCCCGATCCTGTTAATGATGGAGTGCTTGCAAAGGCCGGAAATCGAACCAACGACCGATCCAGTGTGTACTTCAGAGTACTTCAAGCCTCTGCGCTATACACACACGGTTAGTTATCCGCACGGGATAATTCGAGTTGATATTCACTGAGCAGATAAAAAGTTCTTAAAGTGGTAGCAGAACCCAAAGTCGATCCCGTCGGTGAATTACGGATGCAGAAAAAGAGTTGGGTGAAATAAGTGCTGCTATTCGAATAACATGTGAAGTCGCGTCATATAAACAAATAAAGAAGTGGTAAAATTTACAATCACTAAGAAGAACAAAGACTACTATCGCAGTTTTCAATAGAACTCACTTGTTTCTTCAAAATACGTTACAGTTTTGGAAGCGGTTGGCGAGTAACCAAGACTGCGTAGAATGCATCGCAACTGAGGCACAGAATGTACCAGACCGTCTTGACTGTAGAAGTTGAAACACTCGCGTATCTCTGAACAGGAAAAGTATTAGAGGAGAATATAACGGAAAAAGTACAGCAATGATCAAGTATTGATATCGGCATTGATCAAATAATTCACTCTTTTCTTGATGAGCATACATGAGATTGCTACTTTATTCTTTATTCACAAAATAAGCTGACGTTCCGGTGGATTTCATGCTCTTCAGGGCCAGTGAAGGCCAAGTTGATCCCAATCTGATCAGCCAAACATCATAATCAGAAGACAATTATCACGAAACCTAAATTTCGATCGTACTGAAAACAAAGTGGCTTCTTTGCACACTTATAGCTTTCTGTGAATCTTCCACTTAGTGTTTTAAGACACCAACTGCACAGAATTCATATGTATCGACGGGTAATGTGTCTCTAATTAAAAAGTCACATTAAAATAAAATTAAAACATTAAGAAAGTAGCCTTAGATAATGCGTGAAATCACGCGTGATAACGAAGAACTCCCCGCAGTTCATTTTTGGATTCTTGGAACCTAGTATTATTCATTAACCACTATTAGTCAAAAAGTTAGACCCATCACTAGCTGTGTAGACTGACCAATAGATACAATAAGTTCAGACACCTTAAAACCCACCAAAAACCCTTTCCAATATCCAAATGTTCCTGGATCGTCTTCGTAACACGCGTAATAACAACGATAATGATGGAGTCCTCCGACGTTATCACCCTTTATACAAACGTGTTGAACGACACCGCTGTGCAAACCACCCTTGAACTCCTTATGCAATACGTAGGAGCAATAAACATGTATGGCTTCTTAATTCAGCAGTTCATTACTCTCTTAAAGGACTGCTCGGTCCTTAGGTGGTCTGGAAAGTATTTCGCACAAACGAGAGGGTTGGCAATGGAGCAACCACTGGCACCAAGCCTTGCCAATGAATATATCTAAGGTGGAAGTACCAGTACATCCGGTTATATACTCTACTATAGATGTACAGGTGATCGCTTTGCTACACAAGAAGAAATGGAGAACTATTTTGAGTTATTAAATGAACAGTCAGAGTACATTAACTTACCCCACAGAAACCGAAAGAAAACTGGCTTCAATTTCTAAACGATCAATTTGACCTATCCGAAAACCTATCACCTGTATCACCTGTCACCTGTAGTCCCGCTGATCGTCGAGTAACTCGAGCGGGCGCCAGTAAACCTTTCATTTTTCCCTGTCGCGTGCAAGAGTAGCCCAGTAGGTTATGATCGCTCTTGGGACTCATATCTTTCTTCATGGCTCTTTGTGAAGAACTCTGACCATCGGGTCGGTGGTCTTCCTTCAGTACGTTTGACATCCCGAGGAATCCAGTCACTAACGGCTCCTGTCCACTTGTTGTCATTCATATGCATTATGTATCCGGCCCACCGTATCTTCGACTGTGGACAGAACGGCACCTTTGATTTTTTATCGTTGACGTAGATCGGAGCTTCGGATCCCATCCCTTAATTGTGTGGAGATATTCCTAGCATCGTCCTTTCTACTGGACGTTCGATAATGCTGAGTGAGCTTTCATCCTGCTTACGCAGCGACCAAGTTTCTACCGCATACGTTAGTGCGGGAAGTACCGCTGTGTCGAAAAGGTGGGCACAGAGTCGGATGATCCTTGTTCTCTTCACTAAATCCTCGATGCTCTTGAAAGCTCTCCAAGCTGCTCGTTTCCTTCTGATCAGCTGTGGAGCTAGGTCGTTCACCATATTGATTTCCCGACCTGAATAGATATAACTGGAGCATTCGGAGAAATCCGCTCCGTTGAGCGTGAATGGTGCATGCGAAACCAATCCGTTCTTCATGAACATCGTTTTTGTGAGATTTAGTCGAGGACCAGTCTTTCCACAGGCTTTATTAAAGTTGGCAAGCATTCGTTCCGCTTGGGTAATGTTTGGTGTGATAAGGACGATGTCATCAGCAAAGCAAAGATGATGTAAATGGCGACCATCGATTTACACTCCCATATTATCCTAATCCAATGTTCGCATGACGTTCTGGAGGGCTGCGGTAAATAATTTTGGCGAGCTGGTATCGCATTGCATAACTCCTCTTTTGACGTCAATGTTAATATCGTTGTAGAATGGTAATAAATTGGTTGTGAAGTTCTTTTACAGCTCCCGAAAGATCTTTATACACTGAGTAGGGACCCTTGACTATCAAGGGCTTCTAAGACTCCTTCTATCTCAACTGAATCAAAGACCTTCTATAAATCGATGAACGTGAGACAGAGTGGTTTTTTATACTCTAGCGATACTTCGATGAGCCTCGTTATTATGTAGATGTGGTCCATCGTACTAAATCCTTTTCGAAACCCTGCGTGCTCGCATGGACGTCCTTCGTCCAGTGCTCCGCCAATACTGTTTAGGATGACTCAAGTGAGAAGTTTGTAGACGACAGACAGTAAGCAGATTGGGCGATAGTTGCCGATATCGAGTGGGTCAACCTTCTTAAACAATAACACGGTCCTGACGGTCTTCCACTGAGCAGAGACCTTGCATTCAGAGAGGTAACGTGTGAATAGCCCATTAAGTGTGTTTACGAGGACTGGCGGAAGGTTCTTCAGGTGTTCAGATTTTATCCTGTCTGGACCTGACGCAGTTCGATTTTTCACCGGTAAAATGGCATGTCGTATTTCGGAAGAGAGAACCGGTGTTACAACATATCCATCCTCCTTTATTTCATATGACGGAAGGTGGACGTGGTTATCGAAGAGAACCGAGTATTATTCGTCAATGATTTTCTCCATTGCCTTTCTGGACGCTGTAACTGTTCCGTCTGGGTGCTGGAGTGCAATCATTTTGGTCATGTAATTGGCTAAGCTTCGATGAGCTTTGCGAATGCTTTTCCCAGACGCTGCAGCTTCGACCATTACTGCTCCTCTCTTTAAGATCTTCTTTTATCGCCTGTCTGCATTATTTTGCAAGTTCGAACGTTAGTTCGCTGTTGCTTGCAGCTCGTGCGATTACACGCTGGCGTGTCGGCTCGAGTGTTTCTGGACACAAACGTCTCTTTGTGACTTTCGAACTCTCGACTTTCATAGCGCTGCCGTGAAGATGTTGAATGAGCCGATAGTATTCTACGTCGATATTATCGACAACGGCATCTTCCCAACAGCCGACTAATGAGTTGAATAAATCCCAGTTTATGGTGGTTCTGGGACTTCGGTTTTGGAATTTAGCGGCTTTTTCTCCTTTCCGCGAAAAGTAGAATCTTGCACAAGGGAAACGATGGTCTTATCCCGTGTAGAATTTTGGGACAACAGCGACATCGGTTAGGCAAAACCTATTTACTATGATGTGGTCCATTTCGTAATGGTAGTCTTCATTGGGAGACTCCTACGTCCAGCACTGAGGGTATGGCTTCTGGAATTGCGAGTTACCATGGATAGTCTTGGTCGCCATTATAAACTCAGATAGCCGCTCACCCCTGTTCGTTCCACTCTAACCCGTAGATCCCAATGTGACGTTCTTCACACGTATTTCTTGGTCCAATCTTGGGGTTAAAATCTCCAATAACCTTGAAGAATGTGTGGTCTTCCCTGTAGAACTTCTCCAAGTCCATATAGAACGCTTCGACTTCTTCTTTGTTATAGTTTGATGTCCGCCCGTAAACGACGAAGATTGTCAAAGCCGGAATTGATCCACGTCTTTTTAATCGTAAACGTCCGATTCGGGCTGTAAGTTGTTCGAATGGATCGATGTTCATGGACAAACTCGTGTTGACGAGAACACCGACGCCGCCGACTCCTCTACTGTCGCATGTTCGGAGGAACAGTTCTTCTCCGGTGTCATAGACGGCGTTGAGTGGGTGACGTCGTCTCGTCTCGGTCAGGCCGATGACATCGTACTTCATCCTTCTTGCTTGCATGAGCAAGTCTTCTATCGAGGACTCGGATGCAGGTGTACGTGCATTGTAAGTACAGATCGTCACCATAGTTCTTTGAAATCCAGGCAGCTTCCATTGGCTCTGAGATTTTAGCAGCCTGTCCGTACTCGTCCTACCCAATCCTGCAAAATTGGTGGCTTTTTCGGGGTCAGGGGAATGAGGTACATTTTTTTAATTGTGTTTAGCATTTTTGATACCCACGTATAGTTTGCTGGGCTCTGAACGTGAGGGCTGGGTATACTCACGGGTAGCTTGCCAGGCTCTGCCAGAGTGGACATGGAGCCTTTTTGTTGGAGGCGACCCCTAACCGCCTCCCATATACTTCTCAGTCACTCGATTGCAGGTTTTTGGCCGAATTGACTCCTAGAATACAATCCGCATAAGCAAGAATGCACCCACACACGCATGCATGAATACGCCTAGCAAATACAGAATGTGCCAAATCAGCGCAGCGGAAACAAAAGTCGCTTTTGGTCCGCGATTAACCCACTATTCGCCACCTGGGGACGCGTCACGTAGCATCGCGACTAACCGGCTCGTGATCCCTCATATGAGGGAAATCCGTGGCCGGAAACGGATAAAAATAAAAAATAAAGGATAAAGCTTTCGGCGTTGATCAATTCCTTGAGGGATGCGTCATGCATCAGACTTCAATAAGTACCGTCGCAGATAATTCTTGTAAACCTTGCAACCACATCACTCAGCAAAGAATATCATTAAGTAGAAACGCTTCCAATGAATCGGGAAATGAAAGATCCATTACGACTGGAGAATAGATTAATGTCCTCACACAAGCGGAAGGCTTTTTTCTTTCACGTCTTTATAGTATTACATTTCTCCTTTCACGACACATTTCAGTTCCTCGTGACAGGTGACCAAGAAATTTTAACATCCTAACTCGTGCATACATGGTTTCTACTGGACGTTTGAGAACTGATCAGAAGTTCCATTTGCAAACTGCAGAAAGAAAATCTTTACCGGAAAATTGCAAGAAACTTCAAAACCTCACCATCAATCTGCTTCTGCGTGAAGAACTCCATCTGAAATCACTCAGCTGGTAAAGAGTTCAAGCCATCGGCAGTCGATTCTTCGAGAATCGATAAAACTAACGCGTCAGTCGATAATCGGACAACTCACCATATCTCGACGAAACGTGACCTCGAACAGAAAGACGGACGACGGCAAAATTGCATGTACCGATTGTCCGCGGAAAGGAGGGGCAAGACAGTTAGCTGGAAGTTTGAAGAAGGGAAGAACGAGACGGGTTATAGAAAAAAATGAAACAATGGGAAAATGTAAAGTGAAGAGGAAGTGGAATTGAAAAAGAGGATGAAAAGATGGCACCAAGGCACGTAAACATGAAAGCAACCATAAGGGACATAAGATTGGAAGAAGTAGAACACAGAAAAACAATGTTTATCTAAAAACATTAAGAGATTCGAAGCAAAATAATAACATTTGGAAGAGTTATAACTCAAAAATGTATCTTTGTAAAGAGCAACGTTTCTGATTAAATATATAATAGCAGGAGAAAGTGAGAAGCAAACTGGATTTCGAAATGTGAGATCATTTATTCAAGTAGCTTCTCAAAGATGAAAGAGGAGGATCAAGGATGGATAAGAAATGATTATATAAGTGGTTGTTGGACAAGAATAGAAAACGGCATGATAGTTTGGTGAGGACAAACTAGGTTACTGCAGAGGAGTGAATATGAGAAGGAGATGAACTGACGAGTAAACGGGACATTTCTACTTCGTGGATGATCCATGCCTTATCAACACTCGGACTTTCACCAAATCAGCTCCTTTCTTCATTTATTTAAGTAGCTTCTCAATATAGTGTTTGAAGATGAAACGAGATCTTCTCAATGAATTCGTTAATCGAATCGCCGGTCTTTTGCAGACACTTTTTGTACAGAACCTAATCCATCGTCATTCCTCAGGAACCGATGCGTTTTCTACAGACACTTGATGCAGTAGAAGACACCATTGAGTTCCGTTGGATGAAGTCGTGCTTAATCTATTCTCTCCCTGTTCTAGACATGAGATTCAACATAAAGAAAGCAAACGAGAAGTTCCATAGGCTTCAGAAAATAAGAATTTAATCAGGACAGAATAGGTGTTGCATCTATAGATTATATAGAGCTAGTTATCCATGAGTTCTGTCCTGGTATACAGTTTTCGAATTCTCAAGTTCACTATTAAATACTGATCAATCTGTCGATCCCTTCGTTCCAAATACAATCTCCTCATAATATAAACGAAATCCTTTTATCCAGCCCCTAATGATGGCCTCTTGAAGTATATATATATATATATATATATATATATATGTATACCTACAGTCTAGGACCGCCAATATTATTTTAAAATTCAACAGAAAAGTCATCAGTTTTGTCAACGTGTTCCCAATAGTGATTCTTACTATAAAAACTTTTTCTCATCGCAGCACTTGACAAGAGCCCTGGCGATTTGTACATGATCTAAATCTGGAACAAAAGAAAACCTCACGGAATCATTTATTACAGTGATAAACAAAAATATATACATACAAATGCAAAAGAAATACTATAGTGCAAATCGTTTCAGCACTGGTTCCTAAAATAAGAAACTTACGAATCCTAGTTACCTTAATTAACAAAAAATGTTACGTATACCTCGTCGGCCGGTTTTTGAGGACATAATGCTGCTTTACGTGCTCTTTCCATCGCTTGCTCTAGTAGTTCACTTTTCTTCTTTTCCGTTTCCAAAATATTTGATATCCTTGCACTGAAAAAAAATTGAAATTAAAGGAAGAAAAACAAAAGAAAGAACTATGAGCTAACTAAAACATTTTATAAATGAAAAAAAATTGAAAGGAAGCCAAACAAAATTCGGTTATCAAAATGTCACGTAGGGACATCGCCGTCTGGCAGCGAGCTTAATTTCTCGTCGCGCGCAATATGCATTGAGAAACTCGTCGAAAAATCGTCCTTTAAAACTGTCAACTGTAGAGAACAGCCTTTTATAGACCAGTATCTGTGTTCATAAGCCATCGATTAAGTGCAAAAAGTACAACAATTAAGTTCTTCGCGATAAAATAACGAGCCGGGAATTGCATGCATTAACACAAATGCGTAAAATCATATCCAAAAGAAAAGGGAATAATCTTGCTTCAATTTACCTTATACCCAAGTCAACTTCTGGAATTCCTGCCAACATATGCTCCGACAACAGCTCATTACTTGCCTCACTGCGATAACCTTTCAATTTACTTGCCGCTCTCATGAGCACATCAGAATCCTAAATAAGCGGCACAGAATTAGAGCTTTTATATACATTTAACTGGTTTAACAGCAACATACTTATTAGTAATCTTATTACCTTTTTCCCCACCAATGAACGTATTAAAACGAATAGGAATCCTCAAAATATAAATAAAACTGAGTAACAATAAATATAAGGTAACAATTACATTTGGTCTAAAATGATTAACAGGGAATTCTGAGCAGAAGAACTAGAAATTGTGAGAATTGTGTCGGATTCCTGTCGGAATCCTGCTTGTTCAACAAGTTGTACCGCATCCAAGGTCTTCGATATGAGCAGAAGGATAATCTTCGTGAAAAGCTTGCAGAGTAGATTCAATAAGAAGACAAGTATTAGACAGTAATTACGAAGATCCCTCAAGTTGCCTTCATTGGGTACGAAGACCGTAAGACCGTGCACGGGGTCCCCCACTGGTCTGGGATTTTCTCTTTCTGAAGGTAAAGAGTCAAGTGGGTAGTAAAACTATATATAGCTTGTGGCCACCACCTTTAAGGAAACCGGCGATAATATTATCGGTTCCAGGAGCTCTCATCATGCTTTCTGGCGTAACTCGAACTTCAGAGGTAGAATCCTGGGCAGTTTTTCGTCAGCGGTGATCCAAGGTCCAAGACGGGGTTGTGGAGTGGAAAAGATTTGTATAGAATCTCTGTTATCAATTCCATATCATGGCAAGATGTAGTGACAATCCGATCTTCGCTCGTCAGCACGAGTAGCGGAAGATTATAGTCGCATAGATCCCTATGACACTTTTTTAAACTAGATCGGTTTTGAGCTGCTACCAATAATTTTTTGACCTATACCAGTGTAAATCTTCTCTACAGCTGGTATTTAATATCAGCCGTGTTAGGTGCGTTACAATGGGATCAAGCTTCAATGTCCTTCAGTCCGAGCAACTCTTTAGTGGTAACGGACATGCGGTCCAAACTTTTATTCGAGGAAATGAGGCGAGTTTGGCATGCATCAGTTTTAAGTTCTTCGACAAGCAGCGTGTAGTTCTCAGTCAGGTATTCATTTATTTACCGGTCCTACAAGAGGATTTTCTTGACAATATCCTTGTCATACACTTCCTTCGTTCTTCTTAGACGAGGAAAGTGATTCTTTTCCAGTATTTGGCTAGATCGAATCTTCACGCAGAGAAGGTGGTGATCGGATAGAGCAGCATAGAATCCAGGTAACAATGAGTTGTCAAAGGTGCACCACTTCGCGTTCGTGAGAATATGATCAATCTTGGCATGAGCCGTGCCGTTAACACGCTGCCATGTACCTCGGCTACTCTTTGTCTTTTCGAAAAATGAATTCCCATGAAAAAAACGTGATGCGGATGGGAGTCATCCAAGATGGTTTCCATTCTGATTCGGTTCTCCTATTCCGAATATCCCCATGTTGTTTTCATTTTCGTTGGCTGATATTAATTTGACATAGAAGACTCAAAAACGAATAATATAAAAAACTTTCGTTATGGATTAATTATTCCAACTGACTGTAAAATGCGTCCAGTTTGCTTTCACTAACTGTAAAATTTGGTGAGTAACAGTTGACGATATTCACCTCTTTTGACGCGGAGGTTGAAGACGAAGAATGGCCAAAGGCGATGATAGGATTTCATACGAGACGACAAGATGGGGAATATATGGGTGTACGACAAAACCAATGCCTCCGTAATTCGTAACTCCAAGAATTACAAGGGTCCCGTCATCTAATTGGCGTATGGAAGTTTTCGTGTTTTTTCTCTCTTGTACGGCAATCACATACAATCAACTGTGATCAGCAGCTTCAAGATCAGCGGAGTGGTTGGCGACTGAAGAGACTGTACTGGCGTTATAGAAGCACAGCAAGAACTAGTTTCCATGGCATATTGACAGCGTGCTTGCTCGCTTGCTTTGTTCGTTTCCCTCGACGTGGTATACAATCCGAGATTTGATCACCTGTCACCGCTTGTCTCAACTCCCGATTTCGTAGACAGGAGCGCTCAGTGTGCGGGGTAATAAGGCTAGAGTTTTGCTGGTTTAGTAATTGTGTTTCTCTGGATTCCCTAGGTCATCCTATCCGAATCCTTCCTCAGGTAGTCAATACTCCAGGCATTCGCCCCCCTTGTGGATCAGATAAAAATGTGCTACCATGAGACTAGTTTGATACCAGGACTGTGGCGATTCCAAGTATTCGCTTACTCTTAGCTGGGCTTCTGCACGGAAACAGACTCTCTCTCTCAGCTTGGAAGTCTGTGCAGAGAGGATAGATCCCCAGATATAGATCGCAGCCCGACACCTAAGAACACCTCTCACCTACAGTGACTATTCCCTGAATAGTTCCTATTTCCTTATACTGTCAAACTTTTCCTATATCAAATGTTTACTAGTAATCATCCTCCATCTATCCTTGGACATTCTGCGAATTGTTTCTTAGCAATCATTTCATAGGAATGCGTGTAGCGCAGTGGTTAGAGGCACCCTGTTATACACATGAGATCGGTCCAACACCCTAAGGGCCACCAAGCCATCTATTTCTCCGTCGTCAGCAATAGCAGTGCTGGCTCGATACATCAGCAGAACACCGCGAGTCATTGTAAAAATTAGATATGCACTGAATCACCTCTAACTACAATAAATGAAGTTGAATGCACGGCGGATTCCTTAAGGACTGATTAACGCCGTCAGTTTTTTCCTTTATCATTTTAACCATCTCATGCACCTGCTATGCAGATGGCTGGAAAGCAATTCTGTAACTTCTTTTTAATAACTGTTCTTCTGCGTCCGACATTTCGGATGCTGAAGAAACAGCTGCCGGCTGTAAACACTATTCAGCATCTGCGTGTAAAGCTATTGAGCCTTCATGAATGTCCTGTGCAAACAGTGATATCAGATTATATTAACTGCGAAACGTTCTGGAACCTCTCTCTAAGCATTGTCTCTAGTTTCTTCCGTTAAACTCCACCCATTGTAGGAGTAGAAGGAGCACTATTAATCACTCACTTAGTGTTTTAAAGTCGCGCTCGTGCTTCGCTCAATTACGGTCCGCTCAACTAAGTATTGCCAAGTTGTTAACATTGTATTGTTGTTATTACTACAAACAGTTATAACCCAAGCTTGAGGTTGTGCTTTGTAGCAACAAAAAAGTCCCAAGTGGCAATCTCACACGAAGTCGAGCATTCTACTTCAAGCTAGTTATTATTCTTTGCCGAAGACTGATTCAAAGATCTACATTCCACTGTACCAACTAATATACCACCCATGATGGGGCGATAAATCGTTAGGAAGGAATTTGACACAACATTTTTAAATTAAAGATGAAACTACTGTCTGCTAAAGATGCAAAAAATCAATAGTCAGTTGAACAAATAGAATTGCATTTCCAGCAGAATTTTCAAGACTGTGTTCTATAACTTTTATCTATTGCCTATCGTTCTTTTCGCGACAGCGTATTATGTGGAATACAGCCACAGTGATACTGACATATTTGCAAAACACGGACACCACCCCAACTCGGACCGCGATTACCCTGTGTGGGGACTTATGAGTTATGCAAAGCACCATGGGCACTTTCATCTCAGGCAGTCCTCTTACTCTAACGGTGCCATCAGCAATCACCCGTCAAGGAGAATGATCTAGGAAACACAAACCGGCATGAAACCAGGTTTTTATACAATATCCATTACTCTTTTCTCGGCCGAGGATAGTGTGAAATACAACCACAAAGAGTCTCTAAAAAATGAATAAATCTACTCTTTTATATTTCGAAACCGACTTTCCCTGAACCTCGGTATCACTAATCAATATGTATTCTTTTTTTGATGAGCTTACACGAGGTTGATAATGATGTTTATTTTCGGCTAACGTTTCGACGTCTTCGTCTTCCTCAGAGCCGATGATCCGAGTCGATGGTCCTCGCTTGTTATTGTTATGGTCTACTCTTTTATTTAAAAATTCAAAAAAAATTGATTAGAGGCAAGTAGCACAATACTAATGATGCCTAAGGACGGTGCTAGTTCGATCTTGCGTCGCGCTCAATAAACCTCTCCTCCCTACGAGGTCGAAAAAATGGTTCCGGACTTTTCCAAGACCAGCTGACTCTTTTTAAACCACTGGGTAATGCTCGAGCACGACTATCTCAGAAGCATAGGGACAATCGACCTGACCAGCACTCAACGATGGCCATAACGAAGACGGAAGCTCTTATCCAACAGCCGAACCCACATGCAAAGACTGCGAAGATAATCGTGGATGAGAGATGTGTGGAAACAAATCGAATGCAAGAAGTCCGCAAAGGAGATGCGATGACGGGTGGTGCAAAATAACATAAATAAATGAAAAATAAAATTCGTCTGTCATTGGGTGATCACTATCTATTATATTAACAGGAGCTGAAAAAGTTTAAGAAATTCCTTCACTACATCTGTTCAACAAAAAAATAGTTGAAAAAGATATGTGAAAAATTCAACACAAAAAAAGGATAAATAAAGATTTTGGAAATTTCTCATATCCTTTTTTTATCAAAAATTTCTGTCTTCCACTTTAAACTAGAGAACACTGCTCAGCATCATAAATTTAAACGTTCGACATCTTCAAACCAGGTCCGATTGCCTTTCGCTAATAAATGCCATGGTAATTTACTAATCTGATTAACAAGGGCAGCGACTGGCTGTCGTGGTGACGACCTGGGACAGACTTTGGCTAGGCTGTCCTCGGGATTCCAGGGAACCACAATGGCTTAACCAGCAAATCTCCGAAAAATGGTGATTATGCTGAGGGCCGCACAACTAGTGAGGACGGGCCATTCAAGCATCAAGCATCAAGTAAGTATTTACTAATCAAAGTAAATATTCAAGCAGAACTAGGAAAAACCCTGCCACAATTAGGATATTGCAAGGAACTTCAAGTCCAAGGCTTATTGAAAAACTTATTGTGAAGTCTTACATCCATTGGTGCTTCCTTCTGTTGCTCGGTACTGGTTGTTCCGCTGTCACGACGAAGCCCCTGGTCGATGAACTTCCGCAGTTCTTCATGCTCGTCACGAAGTAACGTCTCCTTCTCGAATTGTTCCCTAAAGAAGTGTTGAACTGTTGATCAAATATTTAAATATATACTCTAATTAGTCATACAAATCATTTGTTCGATTTGGTTGGAGTTCGCAGAAAATCCAACCATAAAATACGATCCATTCTGTTACTGAGAAGTGGAGAAATGTTTCATTCCATAACATCATGATGTTCATGGTCTAAGTCAGACTACTACTGCTTTAGTACATTTACACGCAAATTTGGTCTACAAAACTAAAATACAAATTATGCGATCCACGTAATGATGGCCACGGTAAAAAGTGATCTTTCAACGTCACAACAGAACTCATACTCACCTGATTCCAGCCTCAATTCCAGCAGCTTCTATCCGTGCTTTCTGCTTACCACTCAAAGCCATCGTTCCACCAGCCATCTGGATACCATCTTCTAGGGCAGCAGCCTGTATGATATGAGCACATTATATACCTATTTAATTCCTGTTTATAAAAATCCTTTGAGAAATAAAACACACACAAAAAAGAAGCCAAATATAACCTTTTCCTTTCCCACTGCGCATTCAATTTCGGTAAGTCCGTTTTTCTTCTCTCTTGCCCTCTGTAGTTCTCTTATATCATTTATACGACGGGTATCGTCTAAAGTTAATTCAATTTCTTCGCATGGAAACAACAAATATCAGTGTCTAATATGCACAATGCACTATGTTACCAGTCTTTTAAAAAAGGTAAAACGCATCGTTCTAAATATCTAAATGGAAATAATGGAGAAGAAAGAAAAAAAACCAAAAAACTTTTTACACTTTTGCCATTGTTTTACTCCCTAAAAATTTTTCAGTTATTGACACGATTTACAGAAAGTACCATGCAATATTCGAAGAGTTCAACAGCACACATAGAATGTCAGCTTACTGCTTTACGATGCAGACAACTAAACCACAAAGCGAAGAACAGCAGTGGCAGTCCAGAACATTGCTGCCGTCTTGACATAATCTGTCACAAAACAGAATCTCCCTCTGGTAAACAAGGACTGACGACTGCCCTTGTTGATGACCTGGGAACGTTCTAGCATGGTTACGCCGGGATTCCAGGGAAAAGAACCCTCGACTGGACATGACGGACGAATGACGAGAAAAGGTAAGATATAGACAAGCGCTAACATAACCTCCAAGGTCACAATACGAAACAAATCACTTTTATGGATGACAGTTGCAAAACAACGAAACAACGAAATGCTGTGGCCCAAATATGTGAACAAGAGACAGTTAAGTATGTAAAGGATTAAGCGTTTTGGTGTTAATCAAACTTAGATATCGCCCTCATCGACCCTTAGTCAACCATGCGTCGTTCATCTGACTCTACCAAGCATCTTAGAGGTGACTGAATGAACATTTGATGCAGAACTCAAAACCCTTATTACTAACCTACTTTGTTTTATATTTATGTTTAAGTGGCTTCTTTGAAGTTCCATAATGTCTTTAAGATACTTAACGTACCGATAACCAACCAGTGGTAGGTCAATTGAATGAGCGACCGACGAGTTATCCGAAAAAAAAACTTGGAGTAATGCTCAACAAATATTGTCCCCTCACGATCAAACTTGAATGAGCGTACCACACGGAACGCTATGATCAACATGTCCTTTTTTCGGACATGACAAACCGATGACGCGCCATTAACGCATCTCCGGTTACGAGCCATACCTCAAATAAGCCAATTATACACTTCACGCTAGAGGGTCAGTAATTTGGGACAAAAATCGTCCCCAAGATCGACTTTCTCTTAACCTCGGCATTGGAATATGAATGTGTCGTTTTCTTGTTCAGCAATCGCGAGGTTTTTAAACAGCATACATTTACTTCCATAGAGAAACACAATACAATACAACACTAGCTGACGTTTCGACAGTATCGCCTTCTTCAGAGCCTAGAAGGGTATACNTCGTCCCCAAGATCGACTTTCTCTTAACCTCGGCATTGGAATATGAATGTGTCGTTTTCTTGTTCAGCAATCGCGAGGTTTTTAAACAGCATACATTTACTTCCATAAAAACACAATACAATACAACGCTAGCTGACGTTTCGGCAGTATCGCCTTCTTCAGAGCCGCTTTTTCGTGACTTCCAATGAGGAAGTTTAGAACAGCTGATTATAGTCGCATGTGGTTGACGACTGCACCATCCCACATCGGTGTATATCAGTATACCCTTCTAGGCTCTGAAGAAGGCGATACTGTCGAAACGTCAGCTAGTGTTGTATTGTATTGTGTTTCTCTATGGAAGTAAATGTATGCTGTTTAAAAACCTCGCGATTGCTGAACAAGAAAACGACACAAAAATCGTCCACAATGAATAAAGCACTAATATAACCACCTATAGAGAACTTCTCTCTTGAAAAGTTCTCTATCTATCTAAATAACAGTATTTGAAGCCCAAATATGGCCGCCTCGCTGTCGCACATCAAACACCGCAATGTAACCTTTTCTAATCTTCTCGATCAATTATGTTCAATGTTTCAGGCACAATAGCGATTCAGGTTTGACTTCAGTAGCATAGCGACGATGGCCTATCTGAAGGAGGCGTAACCAGTGGAACAGTTTAGTACTTCCTCGCGAAACAACGAAGCTAATGACGTTTGATGTTTCAGGCAGTTAGGTACAGTCTATTGCGGTCCAGGATCAACAATCTAGATTAACCGCGGTTGCATACGCTCGCGGCTCCCGCAGCCGATATAAGCCAGGTGCCTTCGACGGCGGAGACATGCCATCACTCACCTTACCCCCGATCGGTAGCGCGGATAATCCGCTCCTCACAACCACATCCTCAATCATCCTCAACTCATTTTTAGTCATACTCATTCATTCTCCTTCAATCACATTCATTCTCACATTCGCATTCGTCATTCAACAATCAGCAGATTATTGTATCTTGTTTCTCAGCTTGTCTACGGTGCGATGTCAGTAGTGGCGGGGGGTNGAAACAACGAAGCTAATGACGTTTGATGTTTCAGGCAGTTAGGTACAGTCTATTGCGGTCCAGGATCAACAATCTAGATTAACCGCGGTTGCATACGCTCGCGGCTCCCGCAGCCGATATAAGCCAGGTGCCTTCGACGGCGGAGACATGCCATCACTCACCTTACCCCCGATCGGTAGCGCGGATAATCCGCTCCTCACAACCACATCCTCAATCATCCTCAACTCATTTTTAGTCATACTCATTCATTCTCCTTCAATCACATTCATTCTCACATTCGCATTCGTCATTCAACAATCAGCAGATTATTGTATCTTGTTTCTCAGCTTGTCTACGGTGCGATGTCAGTAGTGGCGGGTGTTACCAAATGCGTTCTGTTTGCAACGCCATCGATGGCATGTACCATTCCTCCCACAATGTACACGCAATGTGTACAATGCCGCTAAGCGGCCAACTTATGCTATGTGTTCTGCTAAGCCGCTATAGGCTTATCAGTTTTGTAGCCATTTATCATACTGGCCCTTGACCCTTAGGCAATGGTGGCACACATCGATGCACAAAGTTCACGTTGCTGACATAGCGTTATTCACGACCAGCCGCCTGACTGTGTTCCGTAGATGACTCATCATTCACTGTCCATAGCACCGTCAACGCCCATGTAACTTACAGTCCTCATCGATCAACTAAAATGCTCCTCATCGCTATAATGTTGAAATGAAATCTTAGCTTGGCCGAAACACGGCCAGTCTGTAACCCTCACCACCTCAGTACTGTCTCCATCTCCGCTGCATACAGTGTCCTCCCTCCGCCCTCAGCATACTTCTCCCTCAGCCGCCGCGCCGGCCGCGAATAGACGCGGCGCGGCATCGCTTACGGCTAAGCAAAGGCTACTTCGTTGTAATCTCATTATTATTGTTAATATTGTGTTAATGGTATAATAATGTTTGAATGCCATGCCTCATTGTTTAGCCTCACTCCACTACAGGCCTTAGCATCTCAGAGCTCTAACTTGTGTCATTCCTCTACCATTACTTCTCTATCGTTACTATCATGTTATTAGTATTGTATTTATGTATTAAAGGTTTAATTACCCAAGTTTTAGATCAATCACAACAACTAAAAAACCCGCGTGGCTAATATTCTACATCAATCTGAACCGCTACACTACGCCACTAACCATTTCGTTACACCACCAGCTGCTCCACATAAGTTACGTCCACATCCACTGTGACATTGGACTTATTAAATATAGAAGGAAATACAAACAAATTTCACTCAGATATGAAAGTTCAACTCACTAACAGTTACCAACAACATGGAAATCATCCCTTTACTTCACCTGAGTATCTTTCACTCATCGTTTATTCTACAATGACTATACCAACAGGGTCCAATGCTAGTTCACTTCTCTCCTACTGCACCTCTTTCTGTCCGAAGTTGCTAACCAGCTTCAATCTGTTCTTCGCAATATTCTCACCATGAAGCTACTATTAACCTGTACCAGAAATACCCTGACCACCCTCCCACCATTTCCCACGACCGATTCTTCATCGCATCGCATTTTTCCTAACGTTGTTTTGCTCGTTTGCTAATCGATCATTAAGACAACATTGATTAATACAAACTCTACTCAGTTCTTAAGGCAGTTCAAAAAACGACTACTGCCACAAACGGAACAATAATTAGCACTGACCTTCATCGCTATCTGCATCGTCCAATCTTCGCCTTGTTCGTACTTTTTTCGTCGGCTTATTAAACGACATATCCTGGATGAATCCAGTAATTTTTGCTGAAAACTCTTGTTTCTAACCTGACCTATGAAGATCCCATATGACTAATTCAACGTTGTAAGGCGCGAAAGAGTATGATGACAGAGAAACAAAGCTAAACTACACATATACCAAAGGAATATTCTGGAAGAAAAACCGACTAAATAAGAAAAGAAAATAGTGAGGCAAAAAATTTATCAAAATCCAAAACTTCTACAGAAAACAAATCAAAGCTGCTTAGACTGAATTGCCCCATATGAGATTAAGAAATACGCAATCGAAACAAATCCACAGCCATGAGCGAATCCCAATCATCCCCTACCCAATACAGCAACAATATGAATATAAATCTCCACAAAACTACATAATAATGTAGTATCAAAATATGCTATGGTCAAAGAGATATGGAGAGACTACCCATAGCCAAGGTTTTTCTGCAAAACTAGGAAAATATGGAACATTAGTGCCGACTACGGTCCTACAATTCCTGACTATCACAATCCATTACGTTTACAATAAGAGAAAAAAATCGATCATTAAAACAACATTGATTAATTGAGGACTACTATTCTGAGACAAATGAGTAGATTGTACACCTTTCGACATCCATACAATTGATCAAAGATCACATCAATGATTGAACGGTCACTGGTCATGTATAGAATGCCGAATGACAAGAGATGAAGAACCACATTGGCTTAAGTGAGGAGAGCAATTTCCTATTACATTACATCGAACAGAGTACCATTACAAGAACTACAACACTTTGACTAAAACTTATTAAAACACCTACTTGAGCTTTAGAAACAACTCAAGAAATTTCTATGTTAAGCAAAAATAACACGGAATATCGTATGGGGTATTAAATTTGTAGAGCATTTTGTGAACCGTTTTTGTTTTAAGGAATCACTTACAGCTAACACATTACATTCTGCCTAGTAGTTCAATCACTGTCAGCTGATACAAAGAGGCATGTCGGAATCGCCAAACATCATCATCGTCAAATTGTCACAGAAATCGTTGTGAAAACTGTTGTTTAGAAATCAACTTCGAGACATCTATAGCTGTTTAGAAAAGAGAAAAGAAAAATCTGAACAAGTGGGTATTCGCTTGGTCTCATCGATGTGCACATACCGAAGAAACATCCACGACTATGTACTGAATCACCACATAGAAAGCATGAAGTAGTGAACCCTTTTAATTTTCGCACGTACATTAAACCAAACGGAAACTTACGGAAATGAGGGAAACACGAGACAGGACGGATTATCTGACGATCAAAACAAAATATTTAGGATAAATCCAACCCATTACTTTGGGTACAACGACGTCTCTCTAATCTCTCCAGATTGACGATAATGACGCCGGACTTGTCCGGGAAACAATGATTCTCTGCAGTCCAAGTGGGAATGCTCCAGCTCAGCTATCTCAGAACTCCAAGGAGAATCGACTCGGCTAGTGTTCAACAGCATCCATTATGAAGGGAAAATTCTCAAGCAGCAACCGAAGCCATACTTTCGGACTTGCAATACTTTCGTGGATAATGAATGCGAGGAAACGAATCGAATACGAGAAGTGCTGGGATCCGCACAGTGGATGTGAAAGATAGGTCGCAAAATGAAAATTCAAAGAGGCATGTCGGAATCGCCAAACATCATCATCATCATCGTCAAATTGGCACAGAAATCGTTGTGAAAACTGTTGAAACAAAATATAAAGAAAACAAAATATAAAAAAACTCATGAAGAGATCACTAGGATCCCAACCCAACCGTCTTTCCAAGTGATTAAAACTGTTGTAGAATTTGCTTGATCGAAAAGTGTCACACTATTCGCGCGAGCTCGTTCACGATGATTTCCTTCATTTTCAAGTGATTATTTGGTTCTCTTTTTTTAAAATTATGACATTAACTAACTAGAATTTTCAGAAAACAAGAAACATAAATTATAGGTGGTTTATGACTAGGCTGATGTACTACGACTGAAGGAGGATATATAACACTACAATGACGTAAAAGAAAAAGGTTTTCGCTTTTCTCAGGACAAGGACATTAATTGAAAGTTAAAGACGGCTCCTGTAAAATGAAAACGAAAAAAAAAAGGGAAATACCGCTATACAATAACACGTCTAAGCTTCGAAGAAGGCGAAGTCACCGAAAGATTAATCATTGAGTCTCAAGAATACGTGTCAACGACCTCATGTCAGCTCAAAAAAAAGATGGTTCGTAAGATGTGGTAAATAATATTTCGCATGAATACCACTAATTCTTAAATATCATCATAAATCTCCGCAGGATTTTATTGGTGCAGACATCTGACGTTGTCCGCAGTGCTCAATCTTTGCTCGTAAAGTTGCACAGTCGTTTCTAAGACGTACAATTTCTTCCACCAGAGCTGATCTAGCTGCCTCTTCCAATGCACAACGATCTCGCCACACCTGATTATCACAGAAGTGAAATTTAGTATGTAACGGTGGACGATACTGAATTGAATAACTATCTTTAATGGAGAATGTTCCTTTTGAAAAAAAACAGCAAAAAGTAAAAATCGACGAAATATAACAAAGGAAATATAACTACTAAAATACTGAGATATTTGCTAAACTCCGGACCGCAGGTGTCTGCGGTGGGGAACGAACGCGCTATTGTCCTTTCCGGGTAGTAACGCGTCCAACACCAGACCAAGCGGGTTCTTCGTTTAGCCTGTCTCTCAGCTAGTTCTATCGATCTTTTGCCATCAGCAATCACCCGTCAACGGGATTGATCTGGGGAGCCCAAATCGAAAAATAAAACTAGCTGAGAGACAGGCGAAACGAAGGACCCACATGGTGTGGTGGTGAAGTGCGCTGCTCCCCGGTAAGGACAACAGCGCGTTCGTTCCCCACCGCAGACACCTGCGGTCCGGAGTCTTGCAAATATCTCAGCATTGTAGTAGTTATATTTCGCAAAATACCCTGCCGTTAAAAAGAATAGGAAGTAAATAAAACGGTTAAGATTATAATAAAGGAATTATAAGGCATTGTCCGGAAGGAAAGACATTTAACCACAGAACGTATTATAAAACAGCAAAGTACTACCATAGAACAACCACTGTAGGAAATCTTTTCTTCATTCCCACTGTTTACGTCTTTACGTCATGCGAAGGAACATGAGATAGTCAGTTATTAAGTCACAAGACATCTGTCTTCCAGCCAACTGAAGGGTTCAACTGGAACCAAAAGCGATCGCGTAGCCTAGCATTGAGAGGTAAGCGGATTCAGATGGTGGATTCAGTGTCTCTACGACTGCAGATTGACTTATACCTTCTGCATATACATAATAATATCCACCCAAACATGAGTCAGTGTGCTGATGTGTAAGCGGACTCCACCTAGCACTTCGATTCAACCAAAGGTCAAGGAACTGTGATGGCTATTGAGCTATTCAAAACCTTAACTAGTTAAAGGAGTTGTTAAATGACTGGATGTGCAACAGAAAAATCATTCGCAGTCGATTCCAACCACTAAATCTCATTCTACTCAGGGAAATCGGAACAAGCTACCCATTGTGACAGGCTGTCAAAGGCACAGCGGAAAAACTAGTGGATATCACCTCGTCTAAGCTAACAAAAATAGAGTCTCACATAAAAAGTGTAGCGGTCTTCTTGGTTCTCGAGAAGGCTAAACTCGCAATAGTGCTTTGATGCGTTAATGAGAAAATGAAGACTTAGCTCGTACTTGCTCGAACAGTGCAACAACTAACAAGATTACAAGTAATAAAACTATTTCCAATACTAGTAGTAAGTCTCAATCAATCACAAATTTAAAACTCTCCTTTAAATAAATGTGCTCCACTTTTTTATGTAATACACTACAAAGTTATGAAATACTGAAAGTAAGCCACCTCCTCTGGCTCTTCATTTTTACATCTCCGCGTTTCATTGGGAATCAAAGAGGTTTCCGTCTGTAAGATATTCATATTGCATGATCGAAGCATCCAGCAAAGGTAAACTATGCGACGTTTCTCCTCCAAAATATCTTGCCTAAACCAAAATTTACGAAACAATGTAGTACATTAAAACTCGTAACAAACACATAGGATAAGGATACACTACTTACTTGATACTTGGACGGGCTGTCCTCACTAGTTGTGCGGGCTCCGGCATAATCACCACTTTTCGGAGATTTGCTGGTTAAGCCATTGTGGTTCCCTGGAATCCTGAGGACAGCCTGGCCAAAGTCTGCCCCAGGTCGCCACCACGACAGGCAGTCGCAGCCCTTGTGGATCGGAGGGAGGTTTGCCACCATGCGACTTGGATACCAGGACGGTGGTGGATCCTGGTATTGGTTTACTCTTAGCTAGGCTTCCTGATGGAAACGCCGAACTCCTTCTCAGTTTCGGAGACCTTGCCGGGATGACGAACCCCCCGCTGTACATCGCAGTCCGACACCCAGGAACACCTCCCAGCTACGATGAGGTAATGAGGTGGTAAACCGTTAGGAAGAAGGATACATTATGAAAACGAATAAACGCAAAGATATTTGACTTTTTTCAGAAACCTTAACGTGCTCTGTACTGCCATTAGTTGTTTTTCCTCAAACATTTCTATGCAAGGTTGATCACTCGACGTCATGCTTGGCGTCGATGGTGTCGGCTCGGCAACTGCCTATAAGCGTAAAACGTTAACCCAAAAACAAGTCAGATAAATCAATGCCAATCACCTAGCACCTAGTTCAATTTTCACTACCCCCGTCTACAAAAACTTTCACAATATATATGGTAACGTAGACGCACCGCTTCATTATCCTCTCCTTGATATGATTTTTAACATATTTTTCACATAAGACTTTACCCAAAAGTTACTTTTGTGTTTTGTTCTCCAAATTTCAATATTTAGATAGCAGTAGTTCCCTGGGTAATAATTTCCTGCTCCATAACGATAACGGCACACTTTAGAAAGAAGGCTAAGGACAAGCCTTGTTTTCTTTACTTTCAAACGTCGCTTCAAAGCCGTAATAGCTGTCTGGACGCCCCAAAGTTGTGACTCCAGCGCTGATGCATCGCCTCCAGCGTCCGCAATTGCGGTAGTCTAAAAATCATGATGTCACCAGAATATTGACGTAATTTAAAAATTTCCGCTTGAAATCAAGGAATCCGACAGATCGCTATGCTGACCAGGTTAAGAAGTATAACACATAACGCCTAATAGGCATCGATTTCAGCGTGCACTTTGCGAAAAACAATGGCTGCGCATAAACAAAAATAACTGAATAATATACTATAATGACAGTTGTAATAGAAAAGTCTAATATAGAGATCTTTGTCAACAAGTTTCTTATTCTAGCACGATGGAATCTCGATTTTCTACAGCGCAAAAATCACTACTTTTTCTGCTCATTTGGAGAAGTTGATATCTCGAACAATAAAGCGACTAAACAACTGGAATTCGCTCCAATACAAAATAAGGTGACCACGACTACACCATCTATGTGGGTTGCCGCGTCTGCGTTGAAAATTTCAAGAATTCTGTTTTTATATTTCCTAAATGATGGGCTGTAAACAGATTTAGAATATACACAAGAGTCTAGAAAAGTTAATCGTAACCTTGAGCGAAGGAATGAAGCGTCCTACACAGTTCTTCTGCTAAGCAATCACGTTTTTAAGTAGTTCGTCTAGCGCAAAACCACCATCGTCACGAAAGTGTGAACGACCAACTAGTTATTACACCGTGAAAAAAATAATTAGCGAGTACAATTCCATACTCCTCTTTAAAATCTTTATTGCAAGGATAAATAAATAAATGATGTTCATTGTATAGAACGGAAAATGTGGTAAACCGTAAGCTCGATAGGAAAGTTTAGACGAAAAGGAGCTTTCGTCCATATAGTTCAACTAAGGAAAGCAGAGCCACATAAGCTCCTGATTTTTGTCGGATTTGTCCTTTACCCAACTAAGCGCATAATATTAAAGTCATATTACATATACCAACTTGTACTAAACAATTCATATAACAGAAAACTAGGCAACAAATTTGGAAAGTGGTGAAATCAATTCTAAATTTATGATACGTATTATTCTCTGCGTCTAATTAAATGCATAGTAAGAGTTTGCTTTGCATATGTCGTTTTGGAGTAGCAAATGACTTTCAACAGGACTCAACCAGTTTCTTTCGCGTGACGATAAAACAAAGGACACATTTTTCGCCTCCGCAAACATGTCGCTCGTGAGAAACGGATACGCCACGAATCAGTCCACCAAAAGAATGTTGCAGACAACGATCTATCGCTACAGGTGGACATATCTGATTCATAAACGTCACATTTGTTCCTCCTGTCAATTTAACAACAGAGTTTCTTTTAAAGGGCGGTGCTGGTGTTCCCTCTACTTACATACTTCGATATTTAGATGGTTCGCCCTCATTTGTTGTGTGGACCCCAGCAAAATTTCCATTTTTTCGCAGTCTTGCTGGTTTAGCCATTGTTGTTCCCTGGAGTCCCGAGGTTAGCCTGGCCAAAGTTTGCCTCAGGTAGTTATTGGCATGGGCAGCCGCCGCCGATGTCGATTAGAGGGAGATTTGCCACCACACCACTAGTTTGATACCAGGATAGTGGTGGATTCTACTCTTGGTTCACTCTTAACTGGGCCTCCTAATGGAAATGCCGGACTCCACCTCAGGTTGGGAGATCCTGCCGGAAGAATAAATACCCTCGCTGTACATCGCAGCCCCAAACTGGAACATCTCCCTACCACGATGAAGAGGTAAACCGTTGGGAGGGTGTTCCCTTTAATACAGACAATTCCGTTAACCATCGAATTCTTTTGCGATCACCACAAAGGCATCCAATCGTTTCTATTGCCAACTAAAGTTTAATATGAATAAAGATAGTTTGTTACTTTCTTCTGCAGTAGACGTGGAGTTGCTTTGCTGGATTCCACTCTGAACCATAACATGTACCTCCTAGTAAATTTACTTTAGTCTTTTATCCAAAAATTACAAGATGTGTTTGTATTGTACATAGAATCCGTATACACATAAACATACCGATACGCTAGCGCATATATACGATAACGCGTTTATGGGAAATATAAGTCAGTCCACCTTCGAAGAGATAAAGACCCTATGTCCTGGGTAGAAAAGCTTCCCAGAGCAAGTGTATGATTATTCTTGGCCAGCGTTTAACCCAATGTTCGTCACGTGTGAAACTGCGATATAGCTTTGGGATTAGCCGACTCACGATCTCTCACTTGGCGGAGGCTGGGAGTGGTATGGATGAATAAGATAATTACAGCCAGTCCTCTAATTACATTCACATTTTCATAGGACATTTCATTATTTTAATGACCTTCCAGTACTTTCCCGACTTAAAATCAAAGCATTCTGATAGAAAACAAGCAAACGACTTGGCTCATTCCATTCGATTCACTGCGGCGGCACCACAAAACAAAACAATTGAAATTCACAAAAAGCTCAGAGAAGATTTACACTTTGTAAATTTACACTTTTATAATCTCCAACACAAGCGAAACGGCAACAAACGTAAGCGGTACATTGGAGAAACTACCGTCTCTTACTCAACGAAATTCCCTTTGTTCAGTTGTTTGAGTACATTCAAAATAGGAGCCTCGAAGCATGATTATGAAGGATAAACCTTTCGGCTTTGATCAATCCCTAAGGTATGTGCCATGCATTCGACTTCATTAAGCATCGTTGGAGATGACTGAATGCAAATCTGGCCTTTACAATGACTCGTGGTGGCCTACCTACGTATTGAGCCAGTGCTCCTATCCTCCCAGATAAGTCCGGTACCAATTTGCTGACTCCGGAGGGACGGAAGGCTTGGTGTGCCATGGGCGCGGGGATCGATTCCACGTGTGTGTCGCTGTGGCTCCTCCAACCACTGCGCTACACGAGCCCTTGATGATGAAGGGCGGAAGAAATGTTTCATGCGTGCCAACATATCAGAAC